TTGTATAATGCGCTGCTGGGCTATCGCTTGATTACAGAAAAAACCTTTCATACCTCGAATTTATTTATAGGTAAGAATACCTTACAGTTGAATAAGACTTGTTTTTGTTTGTTTGTTTTTGTAAAGTGTTTTACGGCGCTCGCAACTGCATAAGGTCATATGTGCGCGAGGGACACACCTAATATTTTCAGTTGGTAGGAAATTTGGAATTTTGCCCGGGTGGCGGCCGAAGCCTACTATTATCGATTTTAGACCACCAAGGCATCTTTAACGTGCGCAACTTGTACACGGGCCCTCCGAGATTTTTCGCCCTTGTCCGAGAAGGCTAGGTGTAAATCTTTTCTACCCGAAGATCAGGGGTGTGGCAGAAAGACAGCAGTAAGGAGGAGCCAAGGAGTAGCAGTAGACAGGCTGCAGAAAGAGTCAGGAGCCCAGAGGAGGGGGCAAAGGAGGTGAGGGGGTGGGGGCAGAAAGTGGAAATGAAAGCAGAAAACAGAAAATTGCTAGAGAGCAGGAAACGAGGTGAAAGGAGACAATTTTAGAGAAGAAAATTTTTCGGTCGCTACCCGGATTCGAACCCGGGACCTTTGAATGAGAGGCCAACACTTTAACTTCTAGGCCACGAGAGCCCCCTGAATAAGACTGCCCTTTGTAAGATCTGAATGAGGTGAAGAACAAGTACGCCCTGTGCACCCTACGTTTTGTTTTGAGATTGAATTGCATAGGAATGTTATTATGAAGTCATTTTGCATTACTTGAAATATTGTTCTCTTTGTCTTAACAGGGATGTTAACCATATTCAAAGTGGAATCGGCGACAGAATGGCTAACAGCATATACTACCTTTCAAGTAGCATTGCTTTGATGATATACTCCTTCATTGAAGGATGGGAATTGACACTTGTTGTTTTGTCAGTGTCTCCGTTCATTGGAATATGCTCAGCTATGATCTTAAAGGTGATAAGTTCTCTGTTATCGAGTGCACATTAGAAACTATAATATAAGTAAAGAAGAAGAGAGTGATATTTGGTCACTAAATAACCACACTGCGCAGAATATTATCTCCGTCGTGGCGAAAAGCGACGTTCCGTATTTGAAGTTTGAAAGCCCAAGAAGGCTGGGAACTGTGTTTGTTTTTAAGCTTTTAAGGTTTTAAAGGGGGGGGGGGGTATACCCCGAAAGTCCCGATTCGGCTCAAAATTATGGAATTTGAGTTGTAAGCATTTTTAGATTCCTCAGCCTTACCTACAACTATTTCATTGCATAAGAACCACCAAAAGCTATATTTTTTTCCCTTACCGGGCATGTTTGTCTCCACCATTTTCTCATAAAGTAAATATTTTATTTTTCTTTATCGGCCGTTTTCTCAAAACGCGATTTTCCTATATACCTTTTTGAATAACTCAACCATTTTGCATCCAATCTTTATGAAATTTTCACAGAAGGAAGAGAAGATGTAATACTAAAACTTTTTTGTTGAATTTTTTATATATAGAATATATTTTTGGTGGTGGTGTTTGGAGTGTGGGTTTTTACGGATTTTTTGCAAACTTGAATGCCACCTCTGAGAAAAATTCATTAAAAGATTTCTAATTCGTTTAGGAAAAAATCAACAGACAAACTTTAAGATCTAATGTTTGGTAACATGCATGCAAAAAACCCCTATCAATTTCCATGAACGATAAGTGCGGTATTCATTACGCAGGACATGTCAACAAAATCCAATATGGCCGCCGTATCCATGTAAACAAAACTTTTTTTCTGAAATTTGATTGCGGATTTTAAGACTCCTTACTATACTTGTTACATGTGTGAAATATGGTAAAATTTGTTCCTCTAATAAGCGAGATAGCCTTCAGGTGTAGCCCCCCCCCCCCTTAAGATTATTTATTTTAAAAAAATTACCCTGCGAACCTCTAACCCATGGTTTGTTATTCTAAACTACTGAACTGCAGCGTTGCTGTTGAAAATAAGTTGTCCTCATGCTAGTGACCTCTGGCTTGACTGCAGCCGTGGTATAGTAGACTCCATTTATAACAGTTTTAGTTATTACAGGATTTAGGCGATAGCTGGCTTACATGTATAATAAATCCCGGAGTCTGATCTCTTACGATATGTTTAAAAAAGTTCTTTGTGTTCTGGCATTTGGACAGACATGCTTGGCTATAACGGTGGTTGATAAAATCCAAAAGCAAACGGATAAGAGAGCAGAAAAAAACAAATGAAGTTAAACAACAGCCAATATTGCAGGCGAATTGCACCTAGGTACGTGGCCCACAGCTGTTCTAGGTTGATTGTGTACACATTATATGATGTGTCCGTGTGTGCTGGGGAGGGGGGGGGGTACTGGACGCACTTTGGTGTTGGTACCAGTCCATTTACGGACATTGCACGACGTTGGTCTGGTACATCGTCAAAAAATGTGTTTGCCTGACCTCAAAATCGCTGATCAAATTTTCCGTTTGTGAGTAGAGTTGTGCGGGGCAAAACGTATCGATTTTAAGAAAGATGTTTTAACCCCTTTTCTTTGTTCGTTTTTGTTATTCATCAAAACGCTATCTTCTGCATATCTTTCAAAAATATTGATTAAGAAAGTCTGAACGTAAATGTACTGCAGATCTGGTTCTATTTTCACTTGAACTTGATACCCACAGGCTCACGCTCTAATGTCATCCAAAGAACAAGCAGCCTACGCTAAAGCTGGTTCTATAGCAGAAGAAGTACTCGGTTCTATAAAGGCAGTCGTATCCTACGGTGGACAGGAGAAGGAAATCGACAGGTATGAGTATGAGATTATTCTACAGCCTGATAGGCACAGTTTATACAATTCAAAGCTGTGTGGGATACAGCATCCTAGTAGAAAACCGGACACACTTTATAAAATAGACCTTTCGACGTCCGCGATGTGTGTCGGCACTAGCGAGGCCATGTACACCATAGATTTCGGAAACATTATGTTCCTTGTAACATTTTAGGTAGTGGTGGCGGTAGCGATGATTGAGTTCAAAGTAATGTGAAAACTAAACAAAATATTTACCTTTGTTTTTGTTCACGGACGAAACAACTGAGGTAATGTTTTTTTTTCAAAGGAAATAAGAATTGGAATGAGATATGATGAACAGTAAGCCCTTATAATATGTCCTACTCTTATTTAACTCAATGTTCCTAATTCTTGTTGCAAGGAAAAAAAACCTCTTCAGTCGTGGAAGGTAAGTACATTTATAACGAAACGTATGCATTCGAACAATGTGACAAGAAACCATGAAAAAAACGACAAAAATACAATCTTCATTCTTTCTTTCCATCGTCTTTCTGATTTGCTCCATTCACAGAACATGTCTCGCCCAATTGTAATGTACACGAACAATGTTTGCCAGCAGTCAGATTGAAATCAAGTTTTAGTAATAAGGGTCATGCGCATTTACTGGCTGGTACGGAGAAGGATCACCTTGTTTAAAAATGACGTCACATAAATCATATCATAAAAGATATGAAAATAGAACACCTTTTTTGTCTTTGTGTTAATATCACTAGTAGTAGGAATAAATTTCATTTTCATGTACGTTGAGACCTTGAAGGAATACTACCCATCATATCACATCATTATTCTATAGCCTTTTGGAATGGGACATAAAAATGACATAATTCCATAACAACGTGCTTTTACGCCTGGTCAACAAATGAAAGCCTTGAAGTCTTGTTACTGGGATTTCATTGTACAGAGCTCACTTTCAACCTTATTGTGGCCGAAACCTTTCTTCGTATTCAAATGAGATGTATTAGATCCAATCAAATATAGCAAACTAGGTCATCTTGTAAAATCTGACTTCTTGTTGTTGCTACACTTCTGCCGTTCTCTTCTTTGCGTGTTTGTTTTTGTTCTGTACGGTGTGTAGAGCAAAATAAGTATGTTTAACTAGAGGTGTGGTACTCTGTTTATTTAGCTGATTTTAAAGTTTCATTTGGTTATCGATGCTCGAGCAAGGCTTCCACCACAAGCATGTCCTATCGGCAAATAAATTGCCATATGCCATATCAGCAAAACAGCCCATATCAATCGAATAGTCCTATTTTTTCTGAAATTATTTTTATTGAATCGTAAAGTGGATGTCTTCCACAAGGCTCATTAATGAACACCAAGCCAAAAAGAAATCAAATAGTTTTCAATTTAAGTGGTTTTCTACTTAAAATTTTAAAATTCGGCTAACGGCAAAGCACAACCTTTTTAAGTGGGTGGGTTTTTTTGCTCTTGTTTGTTTATTTCCTATTGTTCGTTTGTTTTTGTGTGTCTGAGTCACTGGCTTCCTTCAAATTCGACCATGGTATCTTATCTCAGGTACACAATCTACGTGCACGAAGCCAAGAAACGCGGTATCATAAAAGGCTTAGTGATTGGAGCCTCGATGGGCATGAACCATCTCTGTATCTATTGTCTCTACGCTATCTCCGTCTGGTACGGGGGTAAAAAAGTGCGAGATCACGATGACTACGACTTCGGTAAAGTGTTACTGGTGAGAAAAACTGAGCCTTTATTTATACGTTTTATTAACTCTACTCTTTGACTGGTGAGAAAAAAAGAACATTTATTTTTTTAGTTTATATCGACCGTACTCTTTGGTACTCAAATTTTCTTCGAGTGATAGTGATAAACGGGTTAAGGGAACTTTTAAAGAATATCATACACCATGTTAAATATTCTGTTTATTTAACAAATGAGTGTTTTATATGATGTGATATGGGCCAATGGCCTTAAACACTGAATAAACTTACTTACTTACTAACTTACTAACTTACTTACTTACTTACTTACTTACTTACTTACTTACTTACTTACTTACTTACTTACCTACTTACTTACTTACTTACTTACTTACTTACTTACTTACTTACAAACTCCACGAATCTATCGTATCTCATCTTACGATACCTTGCATTCTTTCAATTACTATTTTGAGAAACTGAGTTGGAAATATATGCATAAATAATCATTACTCAGTCTACATGAAAGGCGGGTGTGTTTTATTCACTTTTGCAATAACAAAAAAATAAATGCGCTATTTCTTCAGGTGTTGATCAGCATCCATTTGGGCAGCATGCATTTGGGAAAAGCGTTGGACAATATACAGTTTGTAGCAAGTGCACGCGGAGCTGCTGCCAAGGTGTACGAAGTCATTGACAGGGTAAGCAATCTGGGTAAATTTCTACGCGCTTCTACAAGGAGTCAAGACATGTATGTCATCCTGGTGACTTCGGACGCTCATTGAAATAATGAAATCGACAGAATTGACATTTTTCTACCCTCTGGGCAATTTTTACCGATTCTCTTTTAAATTGTAAGAGGGGGGGGCGGGGGTGATCCACGACTTCAATAACTATTTCAAATCACATAATCATGCGGATTTCACTGTAAAACGTTGATAAAAGTCACAAAAAATATAAATTGGGATTTTCTAAGGACATTGAAGCTATGGAAGTCTCCAAACTTTGACGACCATTTTCTCGCTAATTTTACCCCTGACACCAGGCGATCTCCAACTACTTAAACCACAGATCTCTCAACTTCTATTCAAGAGAGATGGGTATTTTTTTTCATCAAGAGCAAGAAACATAAACAAGCTTTAAGATAGTACCAAAACTCTTCATACAATACAATTGACAATCGGCGGACTCCACCGTGTCGTGACACATACCTATTCACAAACCCTCTTTCCGGCATGGCGTCACGGCTACCTCCATGTTGGTTCCATAGAGAGTGGAAATGAACGTAGTAGGTCTAGTGAGCTCTGAATGGAGGCATCAACTAGACGTTTACCCAAAAATGTGCTATGTAAAGTCATTCTCCTCGAATAAAATACATGCATTGTGTTTGGGGTTAGAATGTTTGCAGGGTGCAAAATGTCCCCATCCCTTCCTAGAGTAGTTTTATTTTAACATACAATCTTAAACGTGGATCATATTGTGTCTCGATTCCATTGCGATCTCTTCTACGTCTTTAGAAGGGGGATAAGCTTTTCATAAATACTGTGACATCGATGCTGAAGGTTTGATATTATATCCCTGTTAGTCACTAATACTAGCCAAAAGTGAAATTAAAATCCATTCAAAACTATTTAGATGGCAACAGAAGCCAACAAATGTAATTTTAAGAAGTGATGCAATAAATTTGATCTGCAGAAAATGGACATTGTTAAGGTAACCGTCATTTAAGAACACAGCATTCATGACCCTTGATCAAAACCATGATTCTAAATTTTTGGAGTCTTAGTAATTGCGTTGTAAGAGCAATGTGGGATGAAAAAAAATCAAGAAAAGTAAACATGTGCCATTTTCTTTCCTTTCATAGGTATCAGAAATAGACAGCAGCTCACCCTCGGGGTTAAAGCCCGCAACTTTAGCCGGCAGAATACGATTCAAAAACGTTCACTTCTCGTATCCTGCGAGGCCCGACGTTAAGGTGAGTAAAGAATCGAAATGAAGAAGCAAAGCAAGAATTAGAAATGAAAAAAATCGAGAAGAACGCCAGGTTGATCTTTCCCATTTACGACACGGAATGTTTTCCATAATGCTAGACAAAATAGATATATGAAGGGTAAATCGAGAGAAATAGAACTCAGAAAGAGATAAACAGCGTGAGAGAAAGAAAGAAAGAAGTAGATCGATATACATATAGAGGGAGAAAAGCAGAAAGAGGGAGAGAGAGAGAGAGAGAGAGAAACAGACAGACAGACAGACAGACAGACAGACAGACAGATTGACGGTGTTAAATAGGAACTCATGTACTGATTTTGATTCCTTGATTCGGTCTTCTTCAGGTGCTGGACGGACTGACCATAGAAGCCAAGCCTGGTCAAACAGTAGCGTTGATCGGCTCGAGTGGTTGTGGGAAAAGCACGTGCGTGCAGCTGCTGCTCCGCTTCTACGACCCGCTGCGTGGACAGGTGAAGTGAATAGCACGTATTAACTATCCAATTTTGCAAGATTTGTAGCGTGGAGACGGCTTTTTTCGTCAACGTTTATAACCCAATGTACTGATTCTGCTCGTGGCGAACTCATTTGGATTACTTGGAGACAATCGTGCTGAAACTCTCTCCAAATCACGCTCCGAGCTATTTTCGTTATAAAAATTATGTCATTTAGTTAAGTGCTATTTAATACATAAAGTCAGTAAAATTTAATTAAATGTTCCGCAGTCACCAGATTCTAGAAAAAACAAATGAAAACACAACAAGAGTCCAGAAAGATGATGTGAATTTCTGACTGTTCCCAGGTCTTCCTCGACGATCACGATCTAAAAGACCTGAACGTGAATTGGCTACGTCGACACATCGGTATCGTCAGCCAGGAACCAGTACTCTTTGACAAGAGCATCGGAGAGAACATTCGCTATGGCAAGGAAAACGCTACAATGGAAGATGTTATACGGGCGTCCAAGGAAGCCAACGCTTTCTCCTTTATCAATGCGCTTCCGGAGGTAACAGGGGTGTTCAAAGATTTTATTCGCTAGGAAGGAAGAATGGACTTTTTTCAGATAACCTTAAGCGATGGTAATAATAACGAGACGGAGAATTAATCCTAAGTTTGGAGTAAGTTGGATAAAGACACATATGTCAGATCAGCAATACCCCAAAGGCAATGATGTAGCATATATCGAGCCATCATGCATTTATCAGAAATACGAAAGTAGATTTAAGTTCCAGACAAAGAAAATACAATTTGATAATCTGCATGAATAACAAAGTTTCTTTTCAAAGTGCCCCCAAATAGTATATCTGTGTGTCTCTAAGTGTTGTCAAATGAGTAGATTGCAAGTCCTCAATAAGTGAATGTTCTGTCAGACTCGGAAATATCATGGGCTTGAATATAATTTTACTCTTCCCTCAACCTCACTGCGCACGTCATTTTTTAAATTCTCTCACTTTTGTCTAACATGCAGTTTCTTCGTTAGATTTTCCTTTCAAATGAAGTGGCTATTCGGACTCGAGTCTAAACAGCATTTGGCCTCCCGTGGCTATTTTGACTCAAACCCCAACGCGCATGCGCAATCACCGGATGTGTCGTAAGCAAAGTAGTCAGACTTACTCCACGAACGAAAAATGGTTTCATTCAGCAATGGCGATCGCTTTTCGTCTTTCATCGAATTCGACAGTTTGAGAAATAGGACAAGGTGTGGCAGAAGCGGAAGATGGAGAAATAGCGGTTACATTGGAGGGGCATACAAAGGGTGAAAGAGAAGCCACAGAAGAGGAGGAAAGAGGAGGGACAGAAGTGGGAGAAAGAGGAATGACAGAGGAGGAGGAAAGAAGGCAGGCAGAAGGAGCAGGAGAATCATTAGGAGATGTTAGGGGAGACGCAATGCGGGCAGAAGAGAGGGAAACCAGACCAGTAGAACTGGAGTTGGGGGAATTTAGGTGATTTTGAAGGGGGTGGTACTGGTAAAGGAGTTCAGAAGAAATTCCGTTATGCCAATGTCAGACTGGCTCAGCCAAAAGTCACGAGGCTGCCCAAACGAAAACAAACTTTCACTAAACGAAACAGGAAACGAAAGTGGCAAACGCCGACTGACTTCCAAGCTAAAGACCAAGAAGAAAGAAAAAATCTAATTCTGGCAGGTTATGTTGTGGATTCTGCTCGTGCCCCGTTTAAGATATCAGATTTGATGACCCCAGAAAATATACTTTCGTTATACGTATTTATAGATATGTCGACAGTAGAAGATCTTTTTGACGAGGAGGCATGGGAGGCACTGTAGGGGCGCATTTCTACGAGGGAGGAGAAAGATCTGCATGAGTGTTGTCATTGCAAGGAAATGAATGATGGCCGAATGTGAAAGCTGTTTAAGCTGGTACCATTACCACTGCGTTGAATTGCGCTCTGCTACTCAACTACCAAAGTGGTTTTGTGAAGCATGCAGAAATTAATGTTCCTCATATCGATTCCTGCATTACTTATGGATTGGTTGATTATTTTCCAAACTGACACTTTTGCTGTCATTTTAATATTGTTTTAAAATTTAATTTGCATTTTATTAGTCGCCAAAAAATGACAATTTAAATGACTTTATTAACATTTTAAGCTGATACCACTGCTGCAGACTGTAGAAGGATTGTTGCCTGTCTAACACTATCAGAATATGTATTGTTTTGTTCTGACTTTTTGAACATCATGTAAAGTATTAGTATGCTGTTTGAAAAGCTTTTCCTTTAGACCACTGTTACTTTGAATGACTGACGTTAGTTCTCTTTGGAATGGTTTTAACTTTTCTCTTCCTAATTCCTTACTGGACTTCCAACTGAACAAAGATTTTGTCTTTCTCGTCAAATAAAGCGGGTTTAGTCTACCTATTGATAGTTATAATCCTTTTTTGTTCTGAAACTTTGAGTTTCAATTCTTTTCACGGTTTTGAGATCAGATTGCCCTATTTTGTAACTGTTGTTCACTTTTGACGTTACTAATACTTTTTAAAAATTTGTGTCGAAAATTTTAGCCATAACGTTGAAACCGAGGAAGGCCAAGGCCGAATGCCTGTCCACTCCACATCCTGTACGCTCGGTGATTGTGCATTGGAGTTTGAGTCCGAATAGCCACGGGAGGATATTTAGACTCGAGTCCGAATAGCCGCGGCTTCCATTTTATTTGACCGTTTGAATTGTGAAATTTTCAGAAATTTGATACAATGGTTGGCGAACGGGGAGCTCAACTGAGTGGTGGTCAAAAACAACGTATTGCCATAGCCCGGGCGCTTGTCAGCAATCCCAAGATCCTTCTATTGGACGAGGCAACATCAGCCCTTGATTTGGAGAGTGAATCCATTGTACAGGAAGCTCTTGATAAGGTCAGTGGTGGCTGGTATGGGCAAGTGAGAGGCACAATTTATCACCGATGTTCCTTCTTCTCTTTCAGTCCACATGATCATGACCTCATTAAATGAAATACGAATAAGATTGTAAATATCAGCAGTGCGAACATATCACTACATTTTTGCACTGCTGTTGAACTATCACTTAATGTTTTATCATCCCTCATTTAACCTTTCAAAATCTATTTCTATTTCTTTCAAAGTTTAAAGCAAGACTTACACCTAACGCTTTTTACGCGTATTTTCTTATTTTAAAAAAATCTCTCAGATGGTTAGGCGCCTCTAAATATTTTTCGACAATGTTTCACCAATATCAATAATAATAACAATAATAATAACAACTACAACGACAACAACCACAACAACAACACAACAAAAACGATAATAATAATAATAATGATAAAAATAGTAATAATAATAATAATAACGAATTCCATTTATATAGCGCTTACGACTAGAAAAATGCTCAATCTGCTTTACAATGCTACAAAGCTCACCTGCTTAAATCGGCACCAGTATTTATTATTTCTCTCCATCTCCCCCCCCTCTCTCTCTGTCTCTCTCTCCCCCCTCTCTCCCTCTCTATCTCTCTCCCTCCACTCTCTACCCTCACCCCTCTCTCGCCAATGAAATCTTGAGTATAGGCGGTCTCAGAGAAATGAGCACACACACCACTTGTTACTGATCAACATAAATAGATATATTGAAAGAGTACATTGATATCAATATGTCCCGTGGATCGTGTTAGTACGTACCTTGAACAACATCCACATTCCCAGGCTCGAAAAGGAAGAACAACTCTCGTCATTGCGCATCGCCTGTCCACTGTGAGAACTGCTGACGTCATCATTGGCTTGAATAAAGGAAAAAGTGTTGAGATGGGGACCCACGAGGAACTGATGGAAAAACAAGGAATCTACTATGACTTAGTGACGAGCCAGGTAACGAGGAGGGAACGAATACTCTTCATTTGGCTTTCAGCCTGTTGACTTGGTACCAAGAAAAGGGCATTTGTGGTGTAGCGGTTAGGCACTTCGTCGTTCATGCAAAAGACATGAGTATGATTCTCATGTGGGGAGATTTCTTTAAATCGAGCATCTCCGTCTGTCTGCGGGGACGTTGTCTACTCTCATAGCCCGGGTTGGCCCTCACATATAGGGTCGAACCTCCCCACTTCCTAAATGATCTACGTTACACCAATGGAAAGGTAGAACACCATTATAATAACATGAAACTGACACTCTTACTCATACCTCTTGGTGCGCAAGAACAAATCGCATGATTACATAGCTTTACTGTCGTTTGATAGCTCACCGTGAACATCTTTAAAAAGGTGTGTTGTTTCATAGCCATCTTAGATAGTTCTTAGCCTTGGGGGTTGTAAATTTGAACTCTATGATCATTATTGAGTTTTGTATTTTCGCCTTGTTGATCAATTTATGCCTTTGTGAATAATATTATTTTTGCATGTGGACCCAATTTCAAATGGGGAAAAAAGAAAAAGAAGAAACGCTGAAGACAGAGACATAATAATATTATGTTAACCATCACAATTGATGAATTTAATTTCTTTGCAAACCTGCAAGATAGAAATTGAGCAACTAGTCTTTTGTGTCAACCTGGCCGTCTAAATGGATGCATGAATCCTGCCCTGGCTTAGGCTACTGGCCACCTTGCTAGTTGTTTGTGTGCATGTCCCTGTCTGTCTGACTCTTGACAGCTAAATTTTGGTAGTCAGGACATACAAAACAAAATCTACAGAGAGTGGAGAGGAAAAAAATAACATATCTAACCCAAATGTAATGTAACATTCATCTATGCATTAAAGACAATCACTTAATAAGTAGCATATCGATAGCTCAATAAGTATAGACGGACAGACAGGTAATTAACAAAGGTAAAGACACCAAACGACAAGACGACAGACAAATTTTCGGACAGAAACGACAAATCATGAATCAATGTGTACACAATGACAAGCGCATTGCCAGAGTAAATGTTATTAAATCTCTTTTTCGTGCATTCTCTTTTCAGACAGACCAACCTGATGAGAATGGTAAGCTATGCCTTCGTCAATTTTTAACACTCATAATCGCTGCTGTGAAAGTCACTCTGACGGAAATTCTGACATTGTTTTGAGGCACATGTAATCGGCGTTGAAAACATAACATTGTGAAGGTAAAGATGATTAGGATGGACGAAAGAGAGGGAGAAAAGAATTAACGGAGGAAACTAATTAAACAATTATGGCAACAAAAAATGCTATATATTTACAGCTTTCTGCTAATACTTAATTATAGCGCACGATCAACTTTTTGTCACCATGAAGCAGTTTGGTCATCCTCTTGCGTAAGAGAACAATTTCATATCAGGTTAGCAAAACACGCACTTGGAGGTTTTCCTTTTCCTGTTCATATCATCTAAGCAGTGTTTGCCCATTATTGTTATAATTAGTTTTAAGTTAAATAAAGCTTGCTAAACCTAGCATACTTCTCTTGATTAAACTCCAAAAAACAAACAAACAAACGTGGCCTTACTTTCACAAAAAGGGTTTTTCATCATCAGAACAAAGTTTGGATGTCCAGAAGAAAAAGGAAAACAAAGTCAAACAGAAAGCAGATTCAAGTGCTGTCGCCAAGGATTCTACTAAAGAGACGGAGAAAAATGAGGTATATATACACAAAGGAATCCCCTAAATGTGGCGTCACAGAGAGACTGAGAGAGAGAGAGAGAGAGAGAGAGAGAGAGAGAGAGAGAGAGAGAGAGAG